TCCCCGCCCCGGCCCGCCCCGCCAGGGCCCGCCCCGCCGCGCTCCACACTTCCGGGATAGGCCCGGGCGCGGCGCAGGCCCCGCCCTCAGGGCTCCCATTGGCTCGAGGCTTCCCGAGTCCCCGCCCAGTCACGTGAAGCGCGCCCTGGCAACCCCACGTGCTGCGGATTAGTGCACTTCCGGCGTGCAGAGCTGGCTGCAGTCGACCGCTTGAAGCTTCGCTGTGATACCGGGCGCGATGCATCCTCATCTTCGGCTCTGGGCCCAGCTGACCTTGGGGATAGCCATCGGCCCTGGCACGCAGGTGCGTGGCTGCCGTCACATAACGGTCTTCAGAACTCTCAAGTCCTGCGGATTTTCCAAGTGTCCCGAGTGGTAGTGGAGTGAACTTGGATTCAAGCCTCTGGCACAGCTTGCAGCCCTGCTAGGGGTTCCAGTCCATGCTTGGAGCTCGAAGGGCCAGGTGCCGTGTTATTTCAAGACTGCGTTGTAGGCCGGCAGAGGCCTCCAGACACCCTGTGGTGAGGTGCTGGTGCAGCCTGGCCGGAGTCAGCGGTGTTCCCAGGGGTGGGAAATCCTTCAGGATGTGAACTAACCCATGTGCCTAGAGACTGTCTGCTCTGCCCTGCGGTCTTCCTGGCATTGGTGTGCCCTAGAATTTGGGGTTTTGCTGTTGTTTGTTGCTAAGGATTAAAGACAGATTCTTCAGAAGGGAGGTTCCCGTTCAGTTTCATCATAGTTGCATTTCTCTGAGCTTGAAGAGAATCTAGGTAATTAGCTTTTCACCACACAACCCAGTTCATGTCGTTCAGTGACTTGGTCTTGCCGTCTTGTAAGCAAACCCAGTGTCATATTCATGTATACACATATGCAGAACATATTTCACTTGTGTTGTTTAGACGCAATAAGTGTGTGGCTTCCGTAAAGTAAACTCTGCCTCTTGTTAAGATGTGAAAGAGCCAACTTAGAACCCGAGGCCATTAAGTTTCCTCTGCTTTTCCTTATGCTGCTTAACCTATCCCTATTATTATTATTATTATTATTATTATTATTATTATTATTATTATTATTGCTGCTAATATTTAAGTAAGAATTACATAGACAGTGTACTGTTTCATCCTGACTACTACTGTTTTTTAAAACTAAGATTAAAGTTGGAATTTATATAAAATAAAGCTTACTTTTAGTTCCATGAGTTTTGAAAAAGAAAGTCAATATATAATCACCCCCATTTAACAAATACAGTGCCTTCTTTGGAAGTCTGTAGAACACTGAGGTAGCACATTCTGAGCCCTTGTTTCTAGGAGAGTTACAGCATTCCTTGTAGGTTCCTGTAATCACATTTTCACTGTTAATGAGAGATTCTGTCATGTTTATTTCTACTGAAGACACCTTGTTTCATATATATGGTTAACATTGGTTGTGTGGCTAGCAGGACTATAATTCAAACCTGGTCTTTTATCTACACACCTGTCACCTCTATTTGGCACAACACAATCTTGTATGTAGGAATACTAGAGAACTTTTCAGCATGGTATTTGGGGGCATTTCAAGCAGAAGACATAAAATGCAGAACAGAGAACAAAGCTCAAAAAGAAGTAGTAGATAGACAGAAAAGAAGCCTTATGTGCATCCTGATAGTTGATGTCACGAAAGAGAACACTGCTGTATTTGACCTCAGCTAGGAAAATGTGCACATTCACAGATGACCTAGAAAGCACATGTGTTGGTTAGGTTACTACTGAGTATTCTTTTGTGTGTGTATGCAGATCCATAAATGCGGAATCCCAAAATAGTGAGGCTTGAGTGTTTAATTAATTTATTATTTATATATTTATTGAATATTTATTTTTGCACCCTTGCTTCGGGAACTCCCAGGTAGAGTCAGTCCCTTGTCCATAAGCTGCTCGTAGTCCATCAGTAGTCATTTTTCAAAGATAAATAGTACCAGCAACTAGAAAGCCTTGACAAAAGGAGTTCCTCCTGTTTAGCCTAGGTGTCGGCCAGGTAGAGTAGAAGGAATCTGCATGTAATTTTGAGTTTCCTACAGATAGGTGGAAGGGTTTTGAAAAAGTTGGAATTAACGTCCCATTAATATGTTCAGTTTAACCTAATAAATGTGTCTAAGTATTCTTTTACATGCCACCGATATAAAATAATCACTTAAGGTATTGTACATTCTTTAAAAATTATTATTATTATTATTATTATTATTATTATTATTATTACTGAATCTTTACAGTCTGGTGTGTGTTTTTCACTTACCATCTAAAGTTAGAGTAGCCACATTTCAGGTACACTGTAAGCTGTATGTGGCTGATGGCTTGTCTGTGAACATCACAGATTGGAAAGTATAGCTTTAGCTTCCCTGGAGGTGGTGATCTAATTTGAGATCTAGAAGCTAGTAGTAAGAAGCTGTTCAAGTTTAACCATGCAGTTCCTCCCAAAAGACTGATAGACTGAGGGCTTGCATCCCCAGCTGGGGCACAATTTTGGGGGATTTCTGGAAACTTTAGAAGGAGGGAGATAGCTGGACAAAGTAGATCACTAAAGGTGTGCCTTTGATGTTATCTTGTTCTTGTCTTTTCTCTGCTTCCAGTCCTTAATGGAGAGCAGATGCTTTTGACACATACTCCCAGGCCATGATGTTCTGACCAAGCACATGGGGCCAAACCATGAGACAAAATAAATGCTTCTTCCTTTAAGTTCTTTCTGTCAAGTATTTTGGCCACAACAATAAAAAGTTAATTCAGAAGAGAGTTATAGGGGGAAATGGGGAAAAAGTCATAATTGAATGTTAGAGGTCAAGATGGAGAGGCACAGGATGTAAAGAATTAAATGAAGACACATTGTTTTTATGGCATTGATATACCATCCACTGAGATGGAAAATTTAGAAGAAGCACGTTTCAAGTGAGTTGAGTTCACGTTGGGTTGAAAATCCTTGTGGAAGTAGGCTCTGAAATAGAGATCTACACTGGAGAATCACCAGCATGGACGTGAAGGTGTGATGGTTCTAGCTGTGATAGTGGATGAATTACCTTGGAGTAAGTCGGCACAGTTGTCTTAGTGCTTCTGTTGCTTGGTGAAACACTATGATCGAAAGCAACTTGGAGAGGGAAGGGCTCACTTGAGCTTACAGTTTATAGTCTATGATCCTGGGAAGTCAGGCCAGGAACCTGGAAGCAGGGAGAGATGCAGAGGTCATGGAGGAGTGCTGTTTCCTGGCTTCTTCATGGCTTGCTCAGCATGTTTTCTTTTGGTACTTGGGCCCACCAGCCCAGGGGTGGCACCACCTACACTTCTCTGGCCTCCCACATTCATCATTAATCAAGAAAATGCACTGCTTGCCCACAGGCCAGTCTGGTGGGGCGTTTTCTAGGTTGAGAATTCCCTCTTTCAGATGACTTTAGCTTTTGTCAAGTTGACATAAAATTAGCAAGCACAGTTAACTCCTTGTCAATATGACACAGACACATCACTATTCTACTAGGACCTTTCCTTTCTCGTTTGCCCCCAAGATGACATGCTAATATCACGATATAAGGGATAAGTAATTTTAAAGGTCCCACAGTCCTTAAAATTCCAAACACTTTAAAAGTTCAATCTTTTTAAAATATCCAAAGTCCCTTTCCAAGTTCCAAATTTCTTTAAAATGCCTACAATTTCTCTAAAACTCTTAAGTCTCCTTAGAAGTTCAAAGTTTCTCAACTATGGGCTCCTGTAAAATCAAAATAAATGCGTTCTTACTCCAAGAGGGAAGGCCCAGGACACAGTCACAGTCAAAGCAAAATCAAAATCAACATCGTAAAACGTTCAGTGCTTCATCTGGGACACGCACATTCCGGGCTCCAAAGGGCCTGAGTCACTTCTCCGGCTCTGTCATCTACAGCACACCCAGCTTATCTTCTAGGTTCAGCCTGGCATTACTCCACAGCTGCTGCGTCATTGGTGGTGGTACCACGGTACTTGGCATCTCTAAAATGTTGGGGCTCTCCACTGCACTGCATCAGTAGCCTCTCATGGGGACTCAGACCATGGCACATGGTGCCAGGCCTCAGCTGTTCTCCATGACCACTTCCGTCCTGGGGTTTTTACTGCTCTGGAGTCTGCATCCTCACCAGTGGCCTGACCTGTTTCCTATGGTACCTCCTCAGCTGCCCTTCATGACACCCCTTCATGGCTTCCAAACTAGGACCACCTGCGAGACTCTTACACTACTAAATTTGGCTGCCAAAATGGGATGCAGCTTTGGCGCTGCTGGACCACAGCTTCTGTGGGCTGACCCTCAGTAAACATTTCCCAGAAGATTTC